CCCGAGACACCGGGCCCGGGCCCGGGGCCCGGGACAGAGTGGGGCCGGGGATGCGGAGAAAAGAAAACAAAGAGCACGGCGACATCGAAGAAATGGGCCCGAAAAGGAGGCGCCCGGCCGGGAGATGGCGGGCCAGCAGGCAGCCTTGCTAACTCTGTCCCCCGGTCTCCGTCGCATCTCGCCCCCCCCCCCCCCCCCCCCCCACACCAGGCCGTGTGGGGGCCGGGGGGAGGGCGAGGAGGGCGCCTGCCAGCTATGCGGGCCCCGGCGGGGCAGGGCAACAGTCAAGCACACACGGCCGGGGCGGTCCCGCCTCATATGAACAAAACCCCTTGCCCGTTGCCGAGCGTGCAAAGTGAACGCGCTCATGGCCTCCCGGCAAGAGCCACAGAGCCATCTGCGCACCGCGCGAAGTTCCCCGGCTGATGATCCCCCGGCGGCGGCCCTCGCGCGCGCCGGAGAACGAGACGGGGGGAGGAGGGGCAGGGGAGCACAGGCGCGCCCCATCCTGGGCCGCTCGAGGATGCGCAGCCGGCCCTGTGTGCGCCACGACACATTGCAGCCAGCCAACGTCCGCCTCCGCCCCCCCCCCGCACCCCCGCCGCCGGTGCAAATGAGGGGGGCCGCGCGGCATGCTGGAGGTGACCCCTCTCGGGTCCGAGTCCTGAAACAGACATGCTCTCTTCCCGGGCGCCGACGGTGGACGGGGGTGCCCGGAGCACCACCACCACCATCATCACCCCCCCCCCACCCCCGGCCTTGGACAGTTCGGCAAGGGCGAAAACAGAGGACTCCGCCCGCGCACGCGCACGCGCGCATTCCTCGGCTCGTGCGCGTCGGCGGAATCCCCCGGTGCGAGGAAACATTTATTCTAACTTTTCCTTTTCATGCGGCACACCCGCAGATGACGACGGCCCCCCCGGCGTGCGTCGTGCGTGCGTGGGGCGGAAGTGAGGAGGGGACTTATCCCACCGACTCTCTGCCCCCCTCCACTCCCCTGGCCCATATCTTCTAGAATGATGCCCCCCCCCCCTCAGCCAGGGCCAGGTCTGCCGCAGGGGGGTGGGAAAATGTCGCCCGCGGCCAAAGAGAGCCGGCAAGGACGCAACAAGGGCTCAGGCCGGTGGGGGGGGGGGGGGATATATACGCCGGGAGGACACCCGGCGCGTCGGCCTCGCGTGCCGTGTGACTGCCCACCCCATGCAGTCCGGTGAGCGGCCCGCGAGCGCGCGCGCGCGCGAAGCCCGAGCGGGAACTTTCCTCTTTTGCCCGAGCCATGCTGCCTCCGTCCCATCCGGGGGGGGGGAGGGGGCGCCAGCGCAGCGGGACGCAAAGACTGCTGCCAACACCGCGAGAGGCCTTTTGTCTTTTCGCGGCCTCTTGGGGCAGGCCCCCCCCCCCCCCGCGCCGGCTCGCCCCTTCCCTCCTGGAGGCCCTCCGTTGTCGGAACTTGCCAAGCCAAGCGAGCCGCACACACACACACACACACAGCTCACGGGGGGCAAGCACGCGGGAAGAAAGATAACACTGTCATATGGCTGGGAGGCTCCAAGACACAGGGCGGAACTCCACGCGGCATGACCTGGCGCACCTCCGAACCTTCTCGCGCTGCTCCCGGCACAGCCTCGCTCCCTCGCCATCCCGATTGCCGGAGTGCGCACACACGCCCGCCCGCAGTCAAGGACGAGCGCGGGCGTGTCGCGGCCATCATCACCATCGGCCATATCATCCGCCGAGGGGGGGGGGGGGGGGGGGGGGGGGGGGGAACCCGGCCGAGGCGAAAGAGTGTTGCCGGCTTCCGGACAGGGACGCCCGTGAAAACCTCGCGAATCTGCGTCCGTGAGGGGGACCCCACAAAGGCCCGAGGGTCGCCCAGGCATATTTCTCTAAACCCTGAGTAGTTGCCAATTTTCGAGCCTCTCACACCGAAACCAACTATGATGTAAATGTCCCTATGTCCAAACCTGCAACATCATCCTGCGCTTTCTCACAGTCCTGGTCTGGTCGCAGCCGCCCGTCCGCTGGCACATGGAATCCGGGTCTCCCCGTGGACATGATCTCGTGCCCGGCCCGGTGTGATGCTGCCCGGCTTTCAAAGAGACACCATCCACCGGCGAGTGAGGGGGAGAGAGAGTGAGAGCACGGGGGCGTTCCCCCTTTTCTCGGGGCCCCCGGCGCCAGGCGAGGGGCGGCGGCCCAGTCAGCCGGGAACGATGTCCGTACGACACCGCACGGGGGGGGGGGGGATCCCAAATGCGGGTCTCGTTTCTAGGCCCTTCGCCGATTGCACCGGCTTCTGCCCTCTCTGTCGGGGGGGGGGGGGGGGGGGGGGGGGGGCGGGGGGGGGGGGGGGGGGGGGGGGGGGGGGGGGGGGGGGGGTGGGGGGGGGGGAGGGGGGGGGGGGGGGGGGGGGGGGGGGGGGGGGGCGGGGGGGGCCCGAGGCCATGCATCTTGCCAGCCTCCCCCCCCCCCCTCGGCTATCCACGCCGCTCGCCGGCCCACGCCTCCCCGCGGATGCACGCGCGCACCGGGCGCGCGCGCGAGGCGTTGGAGGACTAAAAACAAGGTCAGGAGGGGCCGAGCGCATGCGGCGCCGTCGGGAGCGCCGTCCGGCGCGCACCCACCCGCCCCCCGCCGGCACAGCTGCCGCCACTGCTCTGTCGATGGCCCTCTCACCCCCCGCCCCCACCCCGGCCCCCGCACGCGCTGCGACGATTACTGGTGCTGGGCCGCGGCGGAGCCGGTGGCACGGGGCTGCACCCGGGACCCACGCCGCCGGCGGGGCGGACGGTTGGCCTCCGGGGTGGTCACCGGATTGGGGCTGGTCGGTCCGGTCGCGGTGGAGTCCTTCGCCGCGGTCGGCACATGCTCCTCGGCAGCCTCGTCGCCAGGCCCAGCCGGAGACGAGAGGGAAAGCTGGCCGCCGGACAGGTTGCTGTTGCCACCGGCCACCTGGCCGGCGCTCTCGTCGCCGCCGTCGGCCGGAAGCTCGAAGTGCGTGCCATCCTCCCCGTCGACCATGCGTGGCGAGGAAACCGAGGTCGGCTGGATGTCCAGGTCATCCACCTGGAGCTGGCCGCCGGCGTTGGGGCCGGCCGCCATGTCGGAGGCCTCCTCCTCCTCCTCCTCCTCCTCCTCCTCCGGGAAGAGAACCGCCCCGCCGAGGCCGCGCCCCCCGGCCGGCGAGTTGACCGACAGGTTGGCCATGGCGTCCACCAGGATCGACGGCGAGTAGGACGCGAGGTCCCCATTGCCCGGGCGCATGTCGCGACCCGCGGCGGTGTATGGCTCGGGCGATGTCTCGCCGATCGCGAACTCGGCGCTGGTCTCCGGCGTGAAGGGGTCCTCCTCGTCGGAGTACCCGCCATCGGAGACGGCATCGCTGTCCTCCTCCTCCTCCTCGTCGGTCATGGCGTCCGAGCCACCGCGGAAGACCCCGGTGAAGCCGAGCGAGTAGGCGACTATGTGTGCACATGCGCGGCAACGGAGGGAGGAGAGGGGGAGAGAGAGAGAAAGAAACAAACACACAAAGATGCGATAGCACAAAAGGAGAACCGGGGCAGATGGAGTCAGACACA